GAGGTCCAGAGAGCTGTGACAAGCTAGGTTCATAGAGGTCCAGAGAGCTATAAGATAAGCTAGGTTCATAGAGGTCAAGATAGCTATGAGACAAGATAGGTTCATAGAGGTCCAGAGAGCTATAAGACAAGCTAGGTTCATAGAGGTCAAGATAGCTATGAGACAAGATAGGTTCATAGAGGTCCAGAGATCTGTAAGACAAGTTAGGTTCATAGAGGTCCAGAGATCTGTAAGACAAGTTAGGTTCATAGAGGTCCAGAGAGCTGTAAGACAATTTAGGTTCATAGAGGTTCAGAGAGCTGTAGAAAAGTTGTATAAATTTTGAATGTTTAAGTACCGCTCCTACTTGGCCGGTGTTGCTGTACTTTGCTCATACTTTTTGTATACTCTTTAGGCCACACCACTCTAAAAGTCACATAATCCAAGCTGGTACAGCATGTACTGTACATGCATTCAGTCGAATTGTCCAGTCTGGACTATCCAGTGTAGAGTCGACCCAGCCCGGCAAGATCACAGTGAGATAAATAAATAATTGGCTAATTACGTGAGAACTTTATTTTTTTAATTAGCATATCTTTGGAACTTGTTGTGAATAATTAAGAATAGGAATTCGAGCTTGAGACAAGTAATCAGTTCCTTTGAAACAACAGTTTTGACATAGAACTTCTATACGATACCCATAACCAATTTGTCTGATTTTTTAGTTCAAACAAAACTAAAAAATCAGACATTTAATAGATGGGTTATGGGTTATGGGTTTGAACTTTAAGAAACCAGAAATATTAATCAAACAAGCAGGACCATTTTCACGAAAACAGTTCAAACCCTCAAAATTCGCCAAAATATTAACTAAACCTTTACATTTAACTTTTCATTTTTCATTTACAAAACTTTGTTTGGGTCAAATTTTCTTATGAAAATCTTACTTTTTGTTTTTATTTTTTGATAAAACTTTTTATCTTACACAAAAAGGTGTTCTGCATTATTTTGTTTAATCACATTGGGTAAACAAAAAAAGAAAAGACAACTCAAGGATGATCATTCTAGTTAATAAAATGGAAAGAGCTAACTCCAACATGAACCAGATCCAAGCAATCCCCCACCACCTAAACCTCATTTGCACAAACAATTTTTTTTCAACTTTACCCCTTCACTTTGACTACTACTTTTATTTTTTTTTAATGCAACCTTCCCACTTTTCCTGCCTTTGCTTTTCCCGTCTTCTCTTCTCGCTTCCCTTCCTTCCCTTTCCTTTGAGCCTAGTTCTTTCGCTTTCTTTTCGCTTTGCACTTTTGATAACCAATTTGCTTCTCATCTATCCTATCCCTTCTATTCCTGCTAACCCCTCCTTCCTTTATTTTAATCCTTTTCTTAACTTTTCTTCCGGGTTTCTCTTCCCTCTTAGTCTTCTGCTTCTTCTTCCCTTTATTTAATACCTTTCTTTTTCTGCATTACCTTTCATTCATTTCCTTACTTTCATTATCTTCCCCTCAATACTTTTCTTCTATTACCTTCCCCTGCTTTTCATTCTCTTCCCTGTTTTCCTTCCATTACCTGTTTTACCTTCCTTTCCCTGTTTTTCCTTCCATTCCCTGTTTTTCCTTTCAGTCCCAGTTTTTCATTCCATTCCCAGTTTTTCCTTCCATTCCCTGTTTTTCCTTCCAGTCCCAGTTTTTCATTCCGTTCCCTGTTTTTCCTTCATTCCAATGCTTATGTTTCCCTTCCTTGCTGTTCCTTTCCTTCCATTTCCTGCTTTTCCTTTCCTTCCCTATTCAGGTTTTCCTTTCCCTTCTTTTTCCTTCTACTACTTCTGTTTTTAGTTTCCCCTTTCAATCCCCTTCCTGCGACTTTTCTCTCTTTTTCCCTCGGCAATAATTATAAATTTATGTAAAATGCCTCCGTTTGATCCCAAATCCACGAGAAACATTCTCAAATAAATTAAATTTCTTTCCTTTTAAACTTCAGAATTAGCTGAGTTTATCGGGTTTAATTCAAGGGCGGCCAATTCTTTTTTCAAAAGGTCGAAAATCAGACTTTTTGCAGAACAACGAATGTTTTGACTGCATTTTTATGTCGGCTTCTTAAAATACCACGTTATGATGAGTTTGCAGATAAATAGTGTTGAATAGTGTAAATATACACCCTGCCTGCTCACACATATCAGGATACACAACATTAAAGGGACTGTAACCATATTTTAAAGTGAAAAGTAGTAAGCACCTACTCCATAAAAAGTTCTCGAACGTATCTATCCAGGTACAATCCATCCGCTATCAACTCCACCAGGACTGAATCCCAGACTCTAAATGCCACACAAGGACACAAGCCTAGCTATCAAAATCCAGCTACTAATACAGTTCTCTAAATGCCACACAGGGACACAAGTCTAGCCATCAATAAGCTATCTATATTGATCCCAAATGATTGGGACTATCCATTGCTCTATAAAACAAGCTATACATCAATCCCAAATGATGGGGATAATCCAATGCTCTAAATGCCACACAAGGACACAAGCCTAACTATAAAACAAGATATATATTTATCCCAAATGATGGGGATGATCCAATGCTCTAAATGTCACACAAGGACACAAGCCTAACTATAAAACAAGATATATATTTATCCCAAATGATGGGGAAAATCCAATGCTATAATGCCACACAAGGACAAAAGCCTAACTTTAAAACAAGATATATATTTATCCCAAATGATGGGGATGATCCAATGCTCTAAATGCCACACAAGGACAAAAGCCTAGCTATACAACAAGCTAAATATTGGTTCCAAAAAAGGGATGATCCCACCTGAAGATAAAAACAAGGCATCAAGTTTACTCTCACGCAGTAAACAGTGCGGAGTTACTCTATAAACTCAACTTTATTTAATATCTTATATCACAAGTTAACATGAATTGACATAATTACAATTCCTACGTCGTTATCTATATTATATTGTAAAATAAAACCTTATTTCATTTATATCTTTGTAACCCGTAAATATACGTTATTTATTTCCTTGACCCTAGTTGCGGTCAACTTATTTACCTGTACCTTTTTATATCTAAATACAGACAGTTCAACACAGACTCGTGTTATTTATGGATCGTATATACCTGGATAGGTAGAGAGGATAGAGTTCTTGATAGATTGAAACAGAGTATTTATGGATCGTATATACCTGGATAGGTAGAGAGGATAGAGTTCTTGATAGATTGAAACAGAGTATTTAAGCTGATAAAAAGTAAAGAGGAGTTAAGCATTTTTCTACAGTATGATTGAATCAATTATATTATGTATTTATCGCACAGTTAACTTTAATGTACATATTTATAAGGTTATTTCCACACATGTTTACAGCGTAATTTAATTATATCATATGATTTAATCTAAACATGCTACTTATTCATTGAAACGCAGTATACAACATTAAATTACTAATAATGTACAACGTACTGCAGGTTTACAGAATGTGTATGTATATTGGAGTCAAATATTTGGATAAACACTATACAATCCATCTTTATAGATTATTAATTTCGTATAATTTAGATTTTTTTGTACTTTTACTATTTCTCTGTACTGTAATTAGTTTTGAGCTTTATAAGGATATAAAAAAAATTTCAATATCGAGAAACATTACATTTTTATTTGATAAATACAGATCTAAGCTTTATAATTTTATCTTCTGCTGAAAAATAAAAGATCAAAAAGATGATACTTACAGATTTACCGGTTCTAGTGTATTTTTACTTAATAGCATTTACATGTACCAGCCCGTATAATGTATGTACCCAGTGTGTAGTGGACCCAGCGCATTTTATGCAACAAATGTAAGCTGCCGGTCTAAATAAAAAATAAGTCCCATTTTTAGAATTAAAATAATTCAAGATGTGACCACATTGATCCATACAATCCTTGCATGATCCTACCCGGCACAACATGTATGTGTATATATATGCATGCAGTTGTACTGTCCAGTCTGTAATACCTAGTGTGTAAAGTCGCCCAGCACGTTTTTACAACAAGTGTAGCGGACAAGATCACATATTTCTCTGTATTCATTTTGTTATTGGTCTATAATTAACGCAGATTAAACAGGTTGGTCCGTGTCCGAGCAAGCTTTGACTTTCGATCACAATTTGACCTATTAAACATAAATATAAAGATTATTGAATTATAGACCAAAATATGATTGAATTCAAATTGAAGAAAACGAAGGCATCAAGCCGTGAATACGAAGTCTAGCGTTATATTAAATCCAATCGATAAAATATGTTCATAGTAACTTTTCCGATCGCCCATATTTTTTAACATAATTTGTTATTTATAGTTTACGAAACACATCAATAAAGAAAGTAGTTTTGAGATTTTAAATCCAATATTGTTTAGAGTTGTGTAGCTAGGGCCCATACAACTTAAATATTTTTGTTGTCCTATGCGCTTTGACATATGAGATCTAAAACAAATAGCATTGATGATGATTTGTTTACGTCTCTCTTCTATCAAATTTCATTAATTTGTTCCCCAACGCGTCTGCTGCTGCTAATAATATAGTCCTTAATCCTCTGAATATGCCTTCTTTCAACAAATATAATGATGTTAGCTTTAAGTTTCAAATTAGCTCAAAAACTTTTTTGAAATCGGCTAAATTGGTCCCTAGCTTAACTGGGTATCTGAGCTAATGATCAGTCAACCTTTTTACCTACCCGGAGAGAGTTAAACCGGAGAACCTATAAGGAACGAGAGTATACAAAACCGACCAATCAGAGACAAGATAAGCGTGCCAAGGTGTTGAATGATGCCTACAAACTCTCCTATTTGTCACACTAATTATTCTCAGCAAAGAAGCCGCCGGAGCCTGCCGCCGAGTTAAAATCCCATCATCTGATTGGTCCAACGATCCTCTCCTGCGCCTTGATTGGATAAGACGGAGGCAGGTCTGACCAGAGAATAGTGTGAGGATAGCGAATCATTGACACTAGTTGTAGAGTGGTGAGAACTGTAGAGTGTGAAGGTGATAACAGCTGGTAGATATCTATCCATGCAAACCCAGGATATATTCAGATATATAGACGTGCAGACAGCTATATTCATCTAGATAGATAGATAGACAGATAGATGGAGATGTGAACAAGGAGTGAAAGATGGATGCAGAAACACAAATAGAGGAAACTTGGAATTCAATCAAAATCATTTCTCCAAAAAACTAGTTCCATTTATATAAGTTATAAAAAAAGAACATTTCCAACAAACTTCCTAATTTTAAACTTCCTTAAACTCATCTGCTAAAAATGAAAAACGTAAATACCTAAAAAAGTCTGAACGTGATTAGCCTTTTTATTTTTTAAATTTAGTTTTAAAATAGAACAAAATATGTAATATAAACCAAACGGTTGGTTTTTCGGAACAATGTTTACATTTAAAATTTGAAGTAATTTTTAGCACTTGTATTTCCATTTATCCTACTCTCACATAAACTTGCAAACAAAATTTGATCTGTAGAATAAAAGAAAATTTTCACGCATTGACTTCGAACGGTGTATAACGTACGAGTAATCGAATAGATAAATTATCTTAGAAATAATCTTGTTTTCGGAAAAACAAGAATAATAACGATATTTATGAAAATAAGAAGGTTATGAATTAGTGCAAAAATTTTCAACTTTTTATCAAAAAATCTGACAATTCTAAATGGCTAATTTTTTTTGTTTAAAACAAAAATAAAAAATAAAAAGTTTTTTGTAACACCGTACACATACATTTTAGAACTTAAACAGGCTTGTTTTTATCAGCAATTTTATCAAGGTTTTATAATATTATTAATATTATACAACCTTTAGTTTAATAGTTATAGTTGGTCCATTCCTAAAGGTTTTCCATTTGCGCGTACATGGAGAACCTTTAGATGACCGGCTCTTTTTTATTAGCATGAATAAAACACAGTGAACCAACACGCTCTCATGCACGCAAAAAACAATCAGTATTTTGCCAATTACTTCTTTTAAAGCACGTTGCATTTAAAAAATGTATACGCTAAGTGAGCTGGTGTGATAAAACAAAAGGCCCAGGCGTTGCGACACTTTAAAATCAATGTTGTCTAAAATTTTGTAAACAACTATCAGAGTTGTCTAGTTCTCATGATGAAATTAGAAAATTGAACGATCAAAATGAGGCACAGGGTCCCATTTTTTTTTTAAATAGTACAAAAAAGTGGGTCAACTTATGTTTTTAAACTCAAACTTTGTATACTAGAAATCAAGCAGAATTTAATGTAAAATTGGTGGAAATAATTATAAAGTGTGGCACAAGAAACATAAGAATTGAAAGAGCAATTTTGTTCTACAAAAAAGAAGACACATCCTATAAAATGTGTTGTTTACATTCTTTGTATATATGGTAAAAACTTACAAGGATGTTTTTTGTTTGAACAACTTAGATTTTAATCTCATATATTTTTTAACAAAAATTGAAAAGCGGTTCAAATTCAGGGAAGAAGTCCGAAAAAAAATCTTGAGAAGAAAGTGATAAATCATCCTTTATTTTTTCTGATATAATCTACAATTAATTTAAATTTATTTGTAAAAAAAATATCCATCCATTCGGTGGGCTGTAAATTGTAATTATCTATGATATTTCCTATTATTCTATTATCCTACTATTTCCTTAACATTTTATGCATTACAAAATCCTATGTCTTCTTGGAAAAAAAATTTTCCAAAAAAAATTTGATCATAATTTTAAAGATGTTACCAATGAGTTACCCAGGCAGGCCATAAAACTTGCTGATATTTGCCATTTTTGTATATCGGCAAATTTTGGATGTTTTTTGGAACATTTTAAAACCTGTTTTTTTCTTCTAAAATTTTAACGGATTTGAATTCCTTGAAAAAGTTTAAAATTTAAAAAAAATTACAAAGTCGTTGAAGTTTTATATTTAACCCATTAGTGACGAGAAGGTCAATTTTGACCGGGTAAAGTTTTTTTTTTAAGTGCCTTTTTTCTTAAACTAAATGTTGTCTTGTCTTTTCCTGTGCTTTCCTTAGGATTTCCTGTTTTCAAAACATATTTTACATTCGACGTAACTTCAAAATTAGGTTTTCTATTAAATTTTCAATTTTAAAAAACCCAAAAAACAAGATTTTGAATTTGGAAAAGAACCAAAAGGACACCCTGTAATTTAGTTTTGAATCTATAAAATTGTCAATTTTTTTTGCTAGAAAAAATTTAAAGATATTTTTGGAATCTTCTTTTAAAAATCTAAATATCTAAAACATGAACAGTAAAGTTTTGTAGATTATTAAATAATTATGAATTACAAAAGTTTTGTAGATTTTCATGTACAAAAAAAAATCAAAAATTTAATTGAATATCGTTTTTTCATGAGTGCAATCAAGTTTTGTTTAGACAAGATCCTTCTAAAACAACTTCACTAAAAGTGAATGGTCTCGTCACTAATGGGTTAATATGTAAATTATGTAAATTTCTCACTGCCCTAAAATAAAACTAACAAAAATTAAAAATGTTTTTTAAACTTTTGCTTTTACTTTATGATTATTCATCTTTAATTTTTACAAATTTAAAACTTATGAAATTTAAAAACGTTAAAATCAAATTGGTTTAGTATTTTAACTATAGATACATTACTCTACTTTTGCGCATATGAAGTAGTTTTTTATCAACCCGATAAACAAAGTACACATGGACAAAAACACACAGTTACAAATTTCCCGGATTTTATAATTACAAAAATGACGATTTTTCGAATCCAAGATTTTATCAGAAAATGCAGAGTTTTCACTGGGATCAGAACCAGAACCAGAATCAGAATCAGAACCAGAACCAGAATCATAATCAACTTCTTCACAGTCAATCTTTTCAACAATCATCAAAGCACAGTTCAGGTATACACCGGTAGCAGGAGGGGGGAGGGGATTAACCGAGGGAAGGGAGAAGGGGCTATTGTCATGAGCTTAATGTTATTTCTCCTTGTTAATTGTCTGTTCACTATGTTGATTGTTTCTAAATGTTGTTTCTCCATGTTAATTGTCTGTTCATTTTGTTGTTTGTTTCTTAATGTTGTTTCTTCATGTAAATTGTTTGTTCACTATGCTGTTTTCCATGTTAATTGTCTGTTCACTATGTTGATTGTTTCTAAATGTTGTTTCTCCATGTTAATTGTCTGTTCATTTTGTTGTTTGTTTCTTAATGTTGTTTCTTCATGTAAATTGTTTGTTCACTATGCTGTTTTCCATGTTAATTGTCTGTTCACTATGTTGATTGTTTCTAAATGTTGTTTCTCCATGTTAATTGTCTGTTCATTTTGTTGTTTTTTTCTAAATGTTGTTTCTCCATGTTAATTGTCTGTTGACTATGTTGTTTCTACATGTTAATTGTCTGTTCATTATGTTGGTTTCCATATTAATTGTCTGTTTATTTTATTGTTTGTTTCTTAATGTTGTTTCTCAATGTTAATTGTCTGTTCACTATGTTGTTT